TATATAATTTTGGGCTCTCATCAAAGTGGAGCTTTAGACGATTCCCTACATCGCCTATAGTCAGAGTCGGCCCTGGCCCCACTAAAAAAATATTCTTGTGATAGGATATGTGGATCTTTAGAAATATAGGAAAATCATATTTCCTATTTTCTTCCTCGACCTCGCTACTATTAGTTTGATTGTGTAATTTGCATTGAATGTTTTCTCTAATATTTATTCGCAACCTTATAAATAAAGTCAATTTATTTAGTATTCTTAGATAAGAAGACTTGCAAAAGTTTTGTTCTTATATATTGACTTTTTAGTTTCTAGCGACTCTCTCCCAATAAATTCTCGCTTGTTAATCAACATTTTTTGAAGATTTACATCTTTGTATAAGATAAATGTTCATTTAAACGACGGAAATCCTATTCCTAAGCCATTTAATGGGCATTGGAGCCATCGAAGAGTGGCAAGTACTTGCCTTGGTGAGTGAGCTAACGTAGTTTTTGGGGCTCGTAGCAATTACCAAAGAAAAAAATCGTTTCAAGGCTTTGATAAATAAATTTGTCACGTGTTTTTTATTTAAAAAAGAAAAAAAAATGATTAATTACACCATACACTATATTTTATTTTCAAATTTCAATTCCGCTATAACTATTTTCACCACGATGAATAAAGGCCAACTGGACTCCTATTTTGAACACAAATCCTTTATTAACTTCAAGAGTCTTGTGTGCTTCCCTTAGTGATGATGAATGGGTTTCTACTATTTTTCCTAAGTTTGGGGGTTTAGGGTTAGCACCATAATCAATGGCAAATGCAATTTCGAATCTGAAACCAGATTTGAAACCTCTTGAATTCTCTTGTATGGTTTATTTTTTTAATTTGAGAGGTGTAAATGGTTATGATGGTGATGGTTTTGTGATAGTTTATTTTTGTAGTGGGTGTCTGTGGTGGTTGTGATGGTGCAAATTTACTTTGTAGTATGGTGATTTAGGGTTCGTAGGTGGTGGTTTAATTATGGTGGAGATGGGGGCAGTCTGATGGCACAGATTGTGGCAGGTTTAGGTGTTGGTGCTTGGGGGTGTAAAAGGGTATGGTATAAGTGGTGGTAGTGTTAACACAGTATGTTACAAGTGGTGGTGCCAACGTTGATGGTGTTTATTAAATGCTATAATTGGTGGTGACGATGAACTGTGTGTTTATTACAACAAGTGGTGGTAGTGACGATGACGGTGGTGATAGAAATAAGTGGTGGATTGTGTGTAATACATTTTGTAACAAGTGATTGCGGTGACAAAAACATGTAACGAGGTGTGTGTAATGTAATATAAGACATAATTTATTGTAAAAAAAAATTACAAGAAAAACAGTATTAGGAATTAAAAAAAGAAAGGTTGAATAGCATACTCAAAAAATAGGTGGGGTTTTTTTTTAAATTATATTTGTGGGGAAAACCAAGTCATTTGCAAGATCTCCAATGCACGTATCAAATTGACATGTGATGAACAAAAATATTGGACACTGGCGTTAAGACAAAATTTACATTGAACAACACCCTATTGATAACATATTGTAATGTTTTTTTTTTTGAAGTTGTGAACAACCTTCTTTTTATTATTATTATTTTTTTATGACTAATATATTGGTATTGATTTACATATTTCCTTGTATAAACGGTCCAAAGGTGCTTTAATTTTGGATTTTTTTTTTATTAATACTGAACTGATACAATGAAAAAAAAATTCTACTAAAAAATTCATTTCCCCCTCATAATAACAATTGGGCCTGGGGGCAGGTCTGAGCGTCCCCATTTCCCTCCGCCCCTGCCTCTACATGACAATCTTGATTTGGGGCCCCTGCCACTGCATGAGAATCTTGATTTGGGACCCAAATCAAGATTGTCTTGCAGAGGCAGGGGCGGAGGGAATTGGGGATGCCTAGACCTGTCATCACTCCACCTGCTTTTGCCCCTAGCAAATTCTCCTCTACTTTTTTGTTTAGACATTCGCTACATGTTTGTTTCCTCTCCACTCCAACCTCAGCCTGGTTTCTCATAATACTTGTGTTTTTTACCCTCTACCCCACATTTTCATTGCACGTCTTCTCTTCATTTTGAATGGACAAGTTTGGATAGATGAAATGAGCAACAATTGAATTTTTGAAAGGGGAATACTCTTTTATTTTTATTTTTAAATTCTATTTGTTCTTCTATTTTAATTGAAAAAATAT